ATCCATTTACAACTATGATTAAAGCACAGAGATATGTTTTTTCATCAAGATGTACACATGTAACATGGGTGTTTATAAAGTATATGTTAAAAAAAGAACGAAACGATTAAAATATATACGAAAAACATGATATTTGATTAAATTGCGACTGTGTTTTTAAAAGATGTAATTTCCCATGACATGCAATCTTCATCACAGTTATCTTACCACCTCTTGGATGAAAGATGAAGCCAATATGTAAGTGCTTTAAACCTGCATTCTTTCTAATGGCCAGCAGGGGACACTGGTTGCAAAAATAAGTCAGATTGTATGATAGTCTATGAGGAAATGATGGAAATTCCCACTGGATTTAGTAACTCAGTAAATATTTTCACGACAATCTTATTGTCTTAATCGCCAGTCATTTACAAAACAGCATAATGACAACTTCTTAAATTATGGTTCCACTTAAATACACAATAAAGCAGCATGTGCTTTGTCAATGGCCAAAAGTCCAGAAACCAATGGATGACGTCACGTTGACTTTGTTCACCCCTTGTCATGCATACTGACATTTTGAGTTATCCTGGAAAAACATAGACACACATATTAGCAAGGGACTTTGACAATGCATCATGTTTGAAATAAAGGAAACACGTTCCATTCAGACAACATGGTCAAGGTGCTGGAGAATGTAGACACAACAGGATACAGGACATACTGCTTCAGCTACAGCTCACCACTGTTATCATAACTTTTCCTTTGAGCCCATGATGACCCAAAGGTCTTCCTCTACCTCTCACCTTCCTCACACACACACACACACACACACACACACAAACACTTCCAGCTGGCCAAGCAAACACCGCAGCAGGTATCCGGGCTACCCTCCAAGGAGAGATCTGACTGCGCTGTGGGGATGAGGAAGAGGAAAACGGCTTCTGAAGGGGGACAGGATGTGTCCATCGGAAAGTCAATCAAGAAAAGGCGCCTGTGAGCACTTTCATAAAGCCATCGAGGATGCTGCCTGAATGCTAGGAATGCTGCTCTTACCTCATAAAGGTACGAAACAAAGGGGGAAAATTGAGGTGGCAGTGCTACTTATCACGTACAGCAGATAGAGAAAGAAAGGGACACATGTGGAGGAAGAGAGGAAACCATGAGCTGATGGTTCACCATGTGTGGGCTTAACCTCCAGTCCTGCAGTTCAGGGATCACAACCTAGTTTTTATATTTTTCATATGGTGAAATAACTGGACATAAATGAAGGAAGGACGCGTATAATAATAAGGTTAATGAGGATAGACTTATAGATACACATTTCAGTCACTATGTGTGTGTGTTTGTGTTTGGACATTATTACGAGGCAGTACAATGTTTCCTTGTTTAGTTCACTGGTGTGTGGAATAAGAAGTTGGCTGTGGGATGTGTGGCGGAGAGAAAGCAAAAGATGGTGATTAGTAAGAATACATATTATGTGATGTAACTTTAGTATCAATATAATATTCATATTAGCAATATTTATGATAATACAAATACGGTAATCAAACAATATTAAAACAACACTTTATTTAAATAGCACCTTTCATGCAAGATTCAGCTCAAAGTGCTTTACTGATACAAAATAAAGATGGAGGAACATAATGGAGAACAAGTTATGAACAAACAGAAAGAGTTGTATCACAGAACCATATAACAATAAAACATGAACAGTGATACAACAAAAATGACCCCAAATGCTCCCAGCAAGGCAGATAAGATGGACCTGAAAATAGTGGGCATGCTGTATAATATTTGACATACAGGAGCCGCAGTGTCTGACATTATTTCAAAGACAGCGAGGTGAAATCAGCCATGAATATCACACACAGGTTTGGTATCACCTACTTAGAAAAATTGTCACTTTTAAATTAGGTTGCTAATAATAAAACTAATCAGATGGAAAATGAACTGTGGCACGTGGCAGCTCAAGGAAAAAAATCAAAGCTTGTCACATAGATTATGTATACATTATGCATACATGATACTTTTGTTTCTGTTGTCAGATAAAAAGAAAGCCAGAAATAACTTGATGAGTTGTGTATTGGGAATCCTCACTAGTTAGTTATCCATCCAAGGGTGATATGGGGACATTCGAAGATTTAAATATGCCCAGCTTGCTGAGAAATAATCATTTTTTCGACTGTCACAGACAATTACATGCGGCGTTGTTGCTCTAATGTAAAATTAACCACTCACTGATTACTGAATCCTAACTGCACTTAGTTAAAGTTCTATTAATAATTGAGAAATTATTTTACAAATGGGATGCTTCTTAAATGAATGCCCTTTCAAATAGCAGCCCTATGGTAGATGTACATTGAGAGAGTGTTTAAGGCTGACAGGCCTTAGTTCCTCTAGTATCACTCTTGGATATTACCGCTTCAAGTGAATGCGTCAGATCCCCCCCTTGGAGGACGATAAGGAAACAAGCAGGCTGGCGCAGACACTTTATCCCCTCTCTCCTCTGCGATAGACTGCAGAGGGCTGGCACCGCAGAGACCCAGTGGCACCATGCGGGAACCAACGTCAACCTGTGATGAAAGACGATGGCCGATTGTTTCCTGTTATTGAAACACTACTCATGGGTGGGGGTGGGGAGTAGGGGGCAGGCTCTAATAAAAAGGAAAGCCATTGAAGGAGAGTGCTACTGCAGAAGTGTCCTTGGGCCAGCCTCTGATGTGATGAAGTACTTTAAATGAATGCCAACTGTGACATATGCCTCAGAAACTAAATCCGAGTCATGTTGACTGCTGGAGGATTGCAATTATTTAAGTAACACAGAGTCAAATTGTAGTAAACCATGTAATTCCTTTGTTTGTGCTGCCTAAAGGAACGAGGTTAAGGCAGGTTCACAGAGTCAATGGGCAAATCATCAACTAGTCTCAGAAAACAGGGCTCTATAAATAACTGTTGTCAATACACTATGGGATTTCAGCACTCTAACATGTCAATTAATACAATACGTTATCGACTGCTTTTGATCTGCAATCATCAATAAATTAGTCTTGTTAAAAGTCTAAAGTTCGAGTTCATATTAAGCACAATTTTAAATTGTTCAGGCAGATAAATCCTTTCAACAGTATCTTAAAAGGAGATGCGCTTCACTTCAAACAGTCCTTTCGACTTTTCTTTTCTCCAAATATGCGGATTAGGAGCACATAGAACTGAAAATAGCTTGACTGGCTTTTCTACTGAATGGAAGAGAGAATGGATGAGGAGAGAGACAGAGCTTCTGCTCTCCTGCTGTGTTCCAGTTTTGTTCTCAATAAGTAGGCTACAGCACATCTATTGGAGCAAAAAGAGACAAATTAACAGAGTTGCTGTTTGAGAATTGTGTTTTTGTAATTGTTCAAAATGCTTTTGTAGCACACAGCTCTGTTTTGCTAAGAGACTTTGTGTTGAGAGTTCATACGACGGAACGATGTCTCCTCTGAGTCTGTTCAGTAGAGAAAGGATGTTATGTCTACGCTTTGTTCCAGATTTTTTCCCTCACAAAGTAGCATAGTGGGATATACTGTGAGGTATGTTATGTTCCTATATAAGAGAAGCCTATGGTTTTACCTCATTGTTCAGCAGATTGTAACGTTTACAATACAAGTGACATATATTGAGGTTAAAGTGACTACAGAAATGTCTAAGGCTATTACGTGTGGCTCCAACCTTCTATACTGTAGTAGCATAGTTTTTCAAGATTCAAGATTTAAATGTTATATTGTCATATATACAACCGCTTCAGTGTAGTTGTTGGCTATAAAATGTTTTATTCCACATAAATAAAACTGATCCATAAAGAAATAAAACACACAACAGAAATAGTGCAAGTGACATAATGGTGCAAGTAAAATCCAGTAATAAGTTCACTTACAAAACCAAGGTATTTAGTCATACTTTGTCTTAAAATTATGACGATAATCCACACAATGTTCCACATGAGAATGTATTCTGTGGAACCCACAGGAATTATAAATATTTTAACTGTAATCATTATTACCATCAGGGAAGGGTGAGCATTCATTTGGTTTCAATATGCAACCTTGCAGCTACTGTAGATGCCACTTTATCTTACACACAGCTCCTTCTAGTGTTATGCTGACAGGTATTTCAATATCACAGTGAGACTTGGAGTTTGAAGACAAGTAATGGTAAAGGTAGACATACATCAGAATAGTATAGACACTTCTGTGATAAAATACAACAATTAGAATGTAAGGCTACCAAATATAAATAATTGAAGCACTTAAAAGTAAAGAGACAGTGCAATACAATCACAAAATTGCAGTAATGTTAAGTAACTACGTACATTTACTAAAGTACTGTACTTAAGTACAGTTTTGAGGTACTTGTACTTAACTTGAGTATTGCACTTCTTTGCTACTTTGTATTTCTACTTCACTACAATTAAAAGGTAAATCGTGCACTTTTACTCCACTACATTTTCCTTTACTTACTTTACAGATTTGGATTAATGATATGAAATATAAACACACTTAAATAAGACTTTAGTTACTCCTGGAGTCAATTCACAACCCTGCAGTATACAAAGTAATTACAACTAGTTCCACCTTTACCAGCTTTGATGTATCAATATTTATAATCAAAACATATGATATATATTATTCTGAAATGGACTGATCTGCATGATAAGTACTTTTACTTTTGGTAGCCTACTTTAAGTACATTTTGATGCTAATACTTTTCTATTTTTACTTGAGTAACATTTTGATTGCAGGACAAGAGTATTCCTACACTCTTGTTCTTCTACTTTTACTTTAGTACAAGATCTGAGAGTACTTTACCCTCCTTTGCAAAATTGGTTATATTTACACCAGTTTTTAATATATTGCTGTGTTGACCACATAAAACAATGCTATGTCAGGGGGAGCACCACAGGGCAGCACTTGCTAGGAAAAGGGAAAAAAAAGGCCGGTGGGAGGGCTACAAAAGTCATTGTGCACCGCCCCGCAGCTCACAAAGTTTGGAAAGTCCTGACATCGCTACATCGGCCACATCCTCGCGCGTGGATTATAAAGCATACCTAATTCAAGACAGCCACCCTGCCTAAAAAGTAAGTTTTGTGATTCATAACTTTCCTATTTCCACGGGGATGTGAAGTCTACGTCTATAAAGTCTATGTTCTTTCCCTGATAGGATAGAGAGCAGTAATTTAGCCATGCTCTTTCCTCAATCCTCGACCAGTCTCTGTTAAATCTGTTTTGAAATGATTAGCTCACATTACGGTGGGAAGTGCTACTTCACAAAGTTTTGAAAACACGGAGTTATGTCCAAAAACGCTGATAGTCGTATATTTGGAATATTTACCTTTCTGTTTTGCCTTATTAATTCCATTATTATGAGTTAAGTTGTGGACTCAATTGCTTGTTTCACCAACAAAACCGACTTTATTGATTTTTAAGTACAGTTTTAGTGATAAAGTTGCTAGTTTAAGACCTCAGTTTTGCCAAAAGTAGTGCGGGGAAATAACGTGACCGTTTTCCTTTGGAATTACATAAACAGTTTATACAGGCTCTTCCTTTCCCTCTATATGAATCATATAACCAGAGCAGTCTCCCCTCTTATCTGATCTAGGCATTGTGATATTATTTAAAGAAAGCGATGCAGGGTTGCTTCCTGAAACGGGGTCGACCAGAAGTGAGTGACCACCAGATAACCCTTAGGTTCAGACCCTCATTGTGCACCAGGAAGGCGGACAGAAATATTGTCTCAGGAGGAAAATCTTGTCATCCCACTGGAGGAATTTAAGACATTTGAGCATCATTTCCCTTACTGTCAGTGATGAATAGGTTGTGTAAATGACTAATGCCCTTTGTGTTCTCAATCATTTTGTTACATAGAGCTCGCAATAAATCAAATATTCTATTAGATGTGGTAAACTGCAATTTAAATGTTCATGTTCAGCCAGCAATACTTATGACCACACAAATGGTTTATCAGCATGTGTGTTTTATCCTTTTCATGACAGTCTACAGGATACAGATTTGCATACAATACTTGTATTTTAATATTGTACGCTGAGTATGAGATTGGCAGTTTGTCACATCCTTATCAACCATCACATTTCCTTATTGATTCCCGGCTTATTTTTCTCCACCTTTTCACATTTTAAAGCTTGGTATTGTCTACTCCACAGCTGACACTGTCACTTCTGCTCTGCCTCTGCAGACAAGGACACTTCAACCTCTGCTCGAGCATCTTCACACCCCAGAGACTCCGCTTCTACCAACAGCTCCAACTTAAACTAAACAGAGATGGAGGGTCACGTGGTGCTGTTTGCCCTGCTTCTGTGCATCTCTGCTGCAGCCTCTGGTAAGTGCAACTGATATTCAGTGTTTTCAGTGCTCAGCTGTTGTGTAACTGGGTTTCATGCTAACATACTCTTTTTGAATAGTCTATAACCTTAGACATTAGGCCACTGTATTTGGAGTCTCCAAGGCTTATTTCTGTCAACAAAAATTCTAATGTAATATAATTATCCTCTGCTGTGTTTCTGAAGAGAAAAGGGTTTGCAATGTTAGTGGTGTAGTAGAGGGAGGTCGTGTGCAAAATAGTACTAGTGAAGTTTGGGCTCGCTTGAATGATGGTTTTTTCCTTACAATAACTAAGAGATCATGTAGTATACAGTCTAAAGTATTACACAATAGCTACATTTAAAAGATATGTAACTCCAAACAGTATCATTTCAACTACTGAACCACTGTCATCACTGCACTTGTTTGTGTCGTTGTTCAGGTTTAAGTCAAGAAAGAATATTTTATTGTAAGACCGCACAGGCACAAGAAGAAAGCAAACATGTGGGGTGATTTTGGATTCCATGTGATCCTCCTCAGTTGGCCTCCCTCTAACACTACCTCCACTGGTTGCCTGTGGCGGCCCATATCAAATTCAAACATGTAATCCCTACAAGGTGGCAAAGGGATCTGAAACCCTCCATGTGCCCTCCGGCCATAATCCAGCCTTACGCCAGTGCTCTGCAGAGCTGCTTCGGGATGTTTGGTTCTCTCTTCCCTGCGGCAATCTGGCATTTCAGTGGCCACCTGGCTTTCAATTAATAAAACAATGCTGGTTTATTTATTTGTATTAGATTTATTATTTCATTTTGTGATTCAATATCAGTTCCAAATTTACAGATCTGGTATAAAAAAAGACAATGTCAAAGTGCAGTTTGTTTTAGTTATCCATATATTTATTTCCCGATAGATATACAGTTTTAAATCTATAAGAGATTTACTGATCTTTTCATCCGTATGAATCTGGTAGTAGTACTTTTCGATATTTTTTTGGACTAAACTGTCTTTGACATGTTAAAATTACAAAACTCTGTTACAAGCTGCTTTTTAATAGCTGATTGTACATGTACAATACAACCCCCCTCAGACTGATGTAATGCAATATAGTTTGACATGAACTGTCAGAAAATGAGGTTGTCCGCACGCATGAACTTTTCAGTGATGCACTTGAAGGTGAAACGGAGAGTTCAGCGCTCAATGACCTTTTTTCACGCTCTGTATCTGTAATCATACACCAGAAAAATAAACTGCCATTTCCAACTTGATTTTTAAATAAGGCAAATTGGCCCTGGCAGCATACATCACTGTCAAGATTATGTGCCAGGAAAACAAGCCTGTTTGCTGAATATGCCCTCAGAGCTGACCTACTGTATGACAAATCACAGTATTGCCACAAGTGCTAAACACCCCCTCAGCAGGGGTGCCGGTGGCAGGGATACAGGTATTTTTATGGCCAACTGGCAGACCTGCGTAGAGTTGACCCCGTGTAGCTCACACCGCGGGGGATCAGTCTCTCTGTCTGCTGGTGGAGTCTGCGAGGAGCTGTTTAGCCCAGCCTTAATTGCCTCTGTGACAAATTGTCCCCAAATCCCTAACATTTTATTTCTCTCTTGAAAGAGTTTCCTACAATTTTATCCCTCCTCTTATTTTTTGGGCTACAGCAGCTTGAGGAGAAGTCCCAGAGGGAGCTGTGACGCTGTTCTCAGACAGAAGGGTACACTGACCCCGTGTGCTGAATGTTGAAGCATTAATAAAAACATTAGTATGACACGTTGAGTTCCTATATCTCAGGCGTTGTTTATTTCTCATTATATAGTCCAGTATTGTCTTATTGATTTGACATTTTCTCCAACATTGTCTCCTAGGCTTATTGGTATGTTGCTGTTGAATAAATGAAGCGAGAACATCAGGTGTGACTCAAACACCCAAAGTATATTCCATACTGAATCAAATTGGCACATTCCTCGACTGAGCAAAGCAAAGCAAAACAAAACCGCACCTGTACAGCAATATTTACCGGGAATTGAGGTCTGTGTAATAGCATCCACTACAGCTGCAAGTCAATGTGGGAGCAGATACACACATCCCTCTGAAGAAGTAGTCTGCAGCCTGCAACAAATCCCAAGACACTCCGGGTCAGTTGCAGGCGATTGGATATGGAATATTACTCAATTTTGCTTTAGCTAACATTTTATATGTTTAACTCTCTTTCAGCTCCTTAATATCAAGCTTGTTCGTCTGAAGACTGGTTGTAATGTACAGCAGCTATTGCATTCACAGTTTAAGTTACCCAATCATTTCTTGGGCATATCAACTGTAAATCTAATTATATAGATGCATAACCTTGCCAAGTGACCCAGTAAAGCCAGAGGATAATGTCTAAGTCTAAGTCTGACACCAGATGTACTCTCCAGTTCCTGAAACTGCCAACTTTAATACTTTCTTAGTGTACCCCCCTGGCCTGAGTTCTGTTGTCATGCATTTTTAGACGAATGCTAATGACTGGCCATTTAAGGGAAATTGGTGTTTTGCAATTGTAACACTATGTCGGCAATAGTTTGTTAGTGAAAGTTTGATTAATTTGAAATGTAGTTTAGTGGTCTCAATACCAAATAATGGGAATAACAGTACTGCTGCAGCCCCAGATAAACTATCTCCTGAACTATCTGACCAATTATCCAATTTTGATGGAAATTGCTGGATGGTTCCTTCAGCGATATCCTAATTTCGACGGGACTCCGATTACTTTTAAAATCACCCGCTGCCTATATACTGTATCTCTCTCAAACCCAGAGAAGACCAACCTTCCTTTCACCTCACACCTTCATTATTAAAACTCCCTATATGCTGGGATCATTCAGGCCTCTCTTTCTTGTCTGCAGCTTATCCATAATCTGTGGACAGGCTTCTGTCAGGCTCCAATAAAACAGACAACATCACGCTTGTCTTAGCTTCACTGCACTGCCTCCCTGTGAGGTTAATTGTGTTTAATATTGTGCTGTTTGTTTTGAAGGCCTTACATGGTCCAGCCTATGGGTTTATCTCCGAGTGCATGTGGTGCCACAATTCGTCTAAATCCCTCCAGTTATTTAACTGGGGTATTTCTTTGTGCCAAGATCATACAGGCGTTGATGCCTTTGCAATAGCTGAATGAATTCCCCCTCTATGTTTTGGTCAGAGTCCTTTTCTTTTTTAATAAAACATGCTAAATGCTTACCATTTCTCCAAAGATTTCACACTTTATTGCATGTTTTCATTTATTGTTGGATGTTACTCTTTGGTTCATCTTATTATATTGCAGTTTGTTTGTGCACTGCTACCAGGTACTTGCAATATTTTCTTGCAACTGTTTTTGAAAAGCATTTAATGAATGTATTTAATTTGGGGAAGTAGTGTTGAATAATCCCCGTTCTGCAACAAGTTTCCCAGCAGGAGCCAGGCATCAAGCATGTTAACCAGCGGACCTCCTGCTGCATGTGTGCCTACCCCAGAGTCTCCCTCTATGGGCTGAAGGAAAAGCACAAAAGTGATTAGCAAGCCGCGGGAGAAGGAGGGGAGGCCCTCTGAAAATGATTCATAAAGGGGGGAAAAGGAGCGAGACAGACAGATAGACAAACAGAGATAACATAATTAATAAAGACTGAGTCATGGAGACAGTAGGGGGAGTGGGGGGGTCACATTTATCTGAGTGTCAAATAGCAGATAAGTGGTTCAGAGGGAAGATGTGGGGGAAATGAAAGAAAATAGGGGATTAAAAAACACAGATAATCAAATAAAATACTGAGAGATATGGCGTCAAAGTCAGAAAATGAAAATGAAAATAAAACACTTTGAGTAACACTAAAGATTAAGAATAATACATTTAAAAGGAAAACATTTGTTATTTAACGGAAATAGGGTGTCAGTGATTTAAGAATAAAGGGTTTCTCAGGCTGTAGAAGAATAAGCTGGGAGCCAAAAAAGGAAAAAAACGTCATGTTAAAAATGGCGTTGGGTCAAAACAGTCCACTTCCCCTGTTTTCTGTAGTGAGCCAGCTCTGCCTGCAGTCAGACTGGGTGGCAGGGAGACGCGACCACTTGTCGCTGCCTCAGACCGATTTCAATCTCCTTCAATGTTATGCCCCTCCCAAATAACAATCAATTTCTGACTGCCTTGCTTTTCCTCTGTTTGAAAACAGAATGCAGTGTGAGGAAGCCTCGCTAACACCATGTTCCTCTGCTGTTTGTTCCCAAATCATTCTCACCGCCTAATACTTGACTTTTATCAAGATGGTTCTAGCTGCAGCGTTGCACATAAGTAATGATATTAGTTGTAGGCTAACATAAATAAATACAGATGAATGGCATTCTTTTGGTTTTAAGTGACGATGACAGAAGATGCCAAGGGGCCATTTGTTCCAGTGTTGGAATCTCTTCAGTTTTCATTTAAAACAATAAATCTGTTTGTTTTTTTATCTTCCCTCTTACCTCTTCGCAATCCATCATCACAAACATATGTCATGCTGTCTTTGTTGTGAGAGAACTTTAGTTTCTGTAAATTGTGTTAAACAGTGGACTTAACCCGTTTTTACCTTTTTTATAGTGTCTGGTCTTTACCTTATGTATCTGAATAAAGACCTTCTTGATATAAATGGCATTGCTTAAATAGTCATACCTCCTTCGCAATAGTTCTTAAAGGTAAGACAAATATTTTAAATGTATAATCTTGATCATTATAGATAATAATAGCTTTTTGCTGTATCTCTTAATTGGACATCATCACTGTGTGACTACAAGGTCTTGTGCCCGGCGTCCCACTGCTTTTCATTATGCAGTTGCATGAGCGCTGAATGGCTCATTAGTAGTGGGCAAGATAAACGCCTCGTCAGCATGGCGACCACTTATGCTCATATCAACATGCCTGCTGTCTGCACAGATAAGGCCTGGCATTATGTACTCTAATCTCTACGTCTGTCTACCCAGGGTCAACCCCAGGGTCTGCACAAACACAGGAAATGTACCTGGACTGAATTTGGAGGG